ATCACAAGCAGAACTGGTTTGTTCCACTTTGGAGTAAGCTGTTGGGGGAAGAATCAGTTTTGCTGTGTGTTTCCTTGACTGATGAAGCCTGCCAGACTGAAGGCGAAACGTTTCAGCACAAAAAAAGAAACTGTTCAGATGACCTGACTGAAAAATGTTGGATTGTATACTTGGATTGTTGAGCATGGACTTTGTTGTTTTCAAGAGCACGTATCCTTTTAACTAACAGCCTTTAGCGGTTTGTCATCATTTCTGACACGAAGTTGTTTGTCTTTTTGTCCCTAAATATAAATCAAACCATAAAACATACACTTTTTTTTTATTCATCTTTAACAGCAGTTTCCTGTGCAAAGAAACTGAAATGAATACTTGGTTTGTTTCACAAACTGTGCAGGTTCTCGGGCTGTTCGCAGCCTTGGATACTCTCTTGCTTTGAGGCAGTTCAGATGAGGTCTCTGTCTCTCCAACAGAAGCACCTGATCCCCAGATGACTGCAGCCAAGTTCAGCAAAAGTTTGAGAATCAGACTCTTCTGTTTCCATGTGACATTTCTGACAGAAACATTACGTTCTCACAGCCCTCGTGACCTTGCTCAGACATGCATTGCTCTCATTTTAACTTTTTTTTCTTCCATTTGCTCATTCTTAACCTTTTATCTCCTCTGCATGACATCACAGTCATCCTTTTTGTTTTAGACTGATTCAAGTTGAATCACTTAAAGGATAGACTGCTTAATTTCTTGTTCAAAAGTGGCTAAACCACCTCGGGGATGCTGTTCCTTGAAGCACCTTAGCTTTCAGGTCTTATCTTCTATACTTATAGATGAATAATTAATAAGCAGCATTGCTGGGAGGTCAGCGAGGGTGCTGTGATCTGAGCAGAAACAAAAGCAGGAGAAGAGCAATGAGGTGACTAACAGTCGTGGCGGGTAATGACTAACCTGTGATGAATTATAGCTGAAACTCGGCCAGGTCTGCTACTGTCTTTACACACAAACTCACACTTTTTACAAGTAGCTGCTTTAAATAAACACATTCCAGCTCTTATTGAAGACACAAACGCATGCAGGCGACACGGTTTGCATACCTGAAAAGGCATGTTTGACTGACAGCTCAGAGACGTGAGCAGGTGAGGTTTCTGTGCATTCAGTGAAAGTTTGTTAATGATCTGACACTAATTGTTAGTTGTGTTGAGCTGATCTCTCTCACACACACACACACACACACACACACGACAGGCTGTTTTTACATCTGATGTAAAATGTTCACATTTCTCCAAGTGAGAATATGACTTAAAAATGTGAAAATCAAGCAAAGTTCAGGAAATTAGAGTAAATTGCTTGGTTCACTGAGCAAATGTAATGACAAATTTGCTTGAATTGTTTGTTTTATTGCGATAAAAAAAGTGATTTCTTCGCACAAAACAGATGCATATTGACCAAAAAGAGATATAAAAGGATAAGCAATGAAAGTTCAAGAATCTTTATTATCCCCAAGGAGCAATTTGCTTCACAGTCAAGTAGGCACACAAAAACATGCATACTAGACAAGACACTGAAACTGTCATGACTGTTTGTTGAGAAGCCTGATCACAACAGAGATGAACGAGTTTTTCAGTCTGTTCGTCCTACATCTACATCTGAGCAGCAGATACCTGTGTACAGATGGAAGCAACCTGAACTCACCATGGAGTGGATGAACAGGATCTGCCAGAATCAGCCTGGCCTTGTTCACTGACCTCGCCTTGTGTAGGTCAGTGAGGTTCTGTAGGGCTATGCCAGCAGTTTTGCTGCACATCCTGACAATCCCCAAGAGTTTGTTCCTGTTCTTACATAAAAGTCCAAACCAACAGATGAAGGTAAAAGTTATGAGACTCAATAAAACATTCTCATAAAAGTACAAACCAGATTCCAGAAAAGTTGGGACACTAAACAAATTGTGAATAAAAACTGAATGCAATGATGTGAAGATGGCAAATGTCAATATTTTATTCGTAATATAACATAGATGACAGATCAAAAGTTTAATCTGAGTAAATGTAACATTTTAAAGGAAAAATACTGTATGTTGATTCAAAATTTCACAGTGTCAACAAATCCCAAAAAAGTTGGGACAAGTAGCAATAAGTGGCTGGAAAAAGGAAATTGACATATAACGAACAGCTGGAAGACCAATTAACACTAATTAGGTCAATTGACAACATGATTGGGTATAAAAAGAGCTTCTCAGAGTGTCAGTGTCTCTCAGAAGCCAAGATGGTAAGAGGATCACCAATTCCACAACTGTTGCGCAGAAAGATAGTGCAGCAATACCAGAATGGTGTTACCCAGCGTAAAATAGCAAAGACTTTTAAGTTATCATCATCAACCGTGCATAACATCATCAAAAGATTCAGAGAATCTGGAACAATCGCTGTGCGTAAGGGTCAAGGCCGTAAAACTCTACTGGATGCTCGTGATCTCCGGGCCCTTAAACGTCACTGCACCTCAAACAGGAATGCCACTGTCAAGGAAATAACAGAATGGGCTCAGGAATACTTCCAGAAAGCATTGTCAGTGAACTCAATCCACCGTGCCATCTGCCGTTGCCAGCTGAAACTCTACAGTGCACAAAGTGGTAAAAATGGACGTCCCAACTTTTTTGGGATTTATTGACGCCATCAAATTTGGAAACAACAGATTTTTCCCTTAAAATGTTACATTCTCTCAGTTTAAACTTTTGATCTGTGATTTGTTTTCTATACTGAATAAAATATTAGAAGTTGGCACCTCCACATCATTGCATTCAGTTTTTATTCTCAATTTGTTTAGTGTCCCAACTTTTTTGGAATCCGGTTTGTAGAATCAACATTAAAACCACAGAGCTTCCATTAAAAATACATCCTCAGATGGGCCTTCTTACAAAGTGAGTTCACATGGAGGTCAAAGGTCATTTTGTCATCAAGAACAGTTCCCAGATATTCAATTCAAAAATACTTTATTAATCCCAAAGGGAAATTAAGTGTTGTCATAGCTCATCATCCTGGTTTAATTCGAGAGTTGTTATAAATGCTGATAGCTGTGGGCTGAAAGGATCTCCTGCAGCGAATCTGAAAAATCTGGCCACAGATCCCGATCCGTCCATCTGGATCCAGCTTGTTATCAGATCCAGCAAGCCTCTTGGTCCTCCTGGGCAGCAGGACTGCCCGAAAGCTCCTTGTCGCCATGGACAGAGAGCTGAAG